TGGGACTGGTAAGCGATGTGAATAGATGGGTATTAAGGGTGAAGTGAAGGGAAATTGGAATAAGAAAAGGCTAAGTTGAAAATATTCAAATTTCATGAAAGCGAATAAAATAATAAGTTTAAAGTTACGGAACTCTAAATTAAAGATTTATTATTTAAAATTGGAGAAAATAAGATTTTAGTTTGGGTAATTAGAGGATGTATTTATGTAACACTATTTTGCTATACTATCATTCAAAGGAAAATAGTATGTATAAAGTAAAAAGTGACTAGTTGGGCGTTAAATATCTATAACGCGCAAAGTTACTTAATGAAACGTAAAGACAAAGGAAATAGTAAATATTGTACCTAGTTTGGGAGTTAAATATCTATAAGCGAAAAATACTTATTGCAAACGTAAAGACAAAGAAAATAGTAAACATTGTACCCCTAGTTTGGGCAGTTAAATATCTATAACGCGCAAAAATACTTATTGAAACGTAAAGACAAAGAAAATAGTAAATATTTACCTAGTTTGGGCAGTTAAATATTGTACCCCTAGTTTGGGAGTTAAATGTAGAACTAATGTTTTACTTTTTTAAACTTGTAGGTAGATTTGGACCCGTAAGATATACGTGTAACTCGAATTTTAATCGACTATTTACTTGGAAAATAGACTTTAAAACAAGTAATTAAGACTTTTTAGGTTGACTAGACACTATTTAACACTGATTGAAATGATGCAAATCGGTGAAGGGAAGTGAAGGTAAGGAACGGGCTTACTTCCTTATGAATTTCTGAATATATTTTATGGTTTGGACTTACGGCCTTGGATGCAGACGATTTCTTAGGTGCCAAATTTTGTGGGAGATGGATTGGTGATAATTGTAATTGAGAATCATACAAAACCTGGACTGGATTTAAATGTATTAAAATAAAATTTTATTCGCGGTTTGTAACGGGGGCCCACCGGAGATATCGGTGAAAACCTAATCTAACCGAATAATGATATATTTTTTGGACAGCTCCGGCGCTACGGGAAATGCAGCTCCTCCACCCTTGCGTACCAAAGCCTGTTCTTTGTTACAGCGGGTGGCGGCTGGTCTTCCTCCGCGTCTCCGATTTTTTATATACACTCTAGGGGTAAGGCAGACAAGACCACGTGGATAGTGGGGTGCTCTGATTCGGTTTTGGGTACTTTTTGGATATTGAAATAAACACTTTATTCTTGTAAGAATTACATAATACAAAACGATGCAAACAATGAAATACAAGTACTAAATTATATATTTTTATTCATCCAGTAACCTATCTAAACTATCTTCACTGCGCTATTCATACGGATATCCGTATGAATAGTCACTTCGTTCTCGTAAAAATTTACTCCTAACAATGGGGAAACAAATTGACATCTCCGTAGACCCTAAATATTGACGGCTTTTGTCAAGCCAGAAAAAAAATGGTGCGTGTACTTATGTACGCGGGTAAGAAGTTATACTTCTTTAGCTTTCTTTATATTTTTATATAAATAATTAATAATAAATATTTAGCGTTAATAATTTAACAATATTTAATATTAAGTATATTATTCAATTATTAATTAATATGAAAATAATAATTATTTATTATATTATTAATTCAATTTAATAACTAGGTATGTTTCATAACCTTTTAACTAAGTAACAATAGGTCTTTGTGAAAAAGCATTGCTAAATTTCTTTGAAAAAATAATTAAAACTCCTTTATTTGTTTAAAAGGTACTACAAATGTCATTATGGTCATTCAAAATTCTTGGCATTGCTGCTAACGTCACGCATATTCTATTTCATTTTACTTGTAGATTGTCTTATTCCCATCTCGCACGCTCGGCGCCCATACTGATAATTTTGTGTCACGGTGTGCGCGCATCGTAAAATTTCACTCTCATACATTTTTCATAACGCGCCTAAAGAAGTATAACTACAAAACGGAAACAGTTCCTGACCTGGGTCTGCTCAATACCATACTGCATACCTATACGGTAAGAACGACCAAAATCGCTGTATATGGTTCATAATTTCAAATACAAATCAATCTAGCCTGATATTAGAGAGACAATATTTGTATGTTTGTTACGAATTATCGTAAAAACCACTGGACTACCACTTTCATGCACTATTTCAAAATTGTTGCCACATAATGCTTATTGTATAGGTTATATTTATTTCCAAAATATGTATTGTTGTCTAGCCGTGCGAAGCCGTAAGAGACTTGCTTGTAATATTTTGATTTGGTTCCATTCTAATGGTACTTTACTGTGACTGCATTTTTGAAACTTCTTTATAGGGTTTGGAAAAAAATTTAGTGTAACATTTTTTCGTTACGCGTCACATTTTTCGGTTACGCGCCATGTTGCTTTTTGAAGTCAACCTTCTTTATCGGCGTTGGAATGAAAGTTCTTTATCGACGTATGGGAGACATTTTGTAGCAAATCGTCACGTTTTTCGGTTACGCGCCATCTTTTTCTTGTCCCTACCACGGTTGATCCGAAGAGATTCGAAGCCATTAATAACAAAAATATATAATAACGATAACAATGATAGTAATAATTCTATTACAATTAATGAAATTCTGTAATAATCTTAGTTGTAATAAGGTAAAATGAAATAATTGTATTTGTATTCATGTCTTTGATAATAAAAGCCTTTTGTTAAACTTTATTTAACCAATTTCGTTAAGTTGCATATAGTAGATCATTTTTCGAAAAATAAACTGGGCACAAGGTACTTCGCCAGTGTCGTGTAGGTGGAGAAGGCACGAAGGAGATTGATCGGTGAAAATAATAATTAAAAAAAGTTGAAATTCGATTGTTAGTTTTAAGACAGCATAGACAACACTAATATGAGTAATAACAGTATTAAATACCTACTATTTCCTATTTACGAATAATTTATTTATATATTACACTTTAATTTTATTGCTTTATATTTACATAAAAATCTACAACATGGACTAAACACAAACATTAACAGACATTTAACACTTAAAGGACGGGGGACTTTAGGGGGAAGAACGTCATAGAGAGGATAGGTTAATGACTGCATTTAATATATTATAATTATATACTGGTTTATATAAAATGATACTGCTTGTCATTATAAGTTAAACTTCAAGAATACCTATTGAAAAATAAGTTTTCGCACGTTGTGTTATCATTTTCATCGGCTGTGGTTTCCTGTCTAATCGCTATAAATTGAAAATTAATTTATTATATTTTTAAATGCTGTATATTTGTTGTAAATTATTTTTATATATTACAACGGAATATGAAGTAACGAAATTGATCTATATGAGAATTTGCTTTTTAGGGAAATAACGAAAAGGTTTATCGACATGACAGGGTGTTTCTTGGGATTTAGTCTTGCTATTCAAAGGGGAACGCTGCCAGTATCTTGCTTAAAGGGACTCCTTTTAATAATATATTTTAGTTATTATATTTCAAGGTAACTAACCATAATTGCTTTATTTTGTTATTAATTAATAAATTAGTATATTATTTAAATATTCATATTTATGTTGTGTCGAACTTTAACAAATAAATATACTCTCAATTTGCAGTTTAAAAAGTTATTTATTTATTATATTTCTCTTAACATTTTAATGTATAAATAATCGTTGCAATACGCGTTTATAAAAGAATAATGATGTTCATGGGTTAGCCAATTATAGTTTTAATTAGAGTTAAGTTTTAAGTTAGAAAAACTATTTTATAAATAGTAAATGGATTATGGATATTTAGTTAATTAACACTTGCCTATTTACTAATTATTTTACTAGAATTTTCTCATTATGAATAATATTGTATTAGTCTAATTACACTATTTGACCTTAAATTCTGTTCGTTTGTAAAATGAGATGAAAAGATGAGTGTTTTAGTTAAAACTTTCCTAAACCTTTAATAATTCGTAGAAATTATAGTAGCACCATTTGCAATTTCGCTAATTTTAAATGCAGTTTTGATCGTACTATATTTGAAAATATATCAACCACCGCAAACTTTGATAACGTATCAATGCAATATATATATATATATATATATATATATATGTTGAAATTTCCAAATAATTAGTAAATTTCACTTTATGTGTAAAATAAGTAATAAAAAGTCGCACAGCGGTTTCTAATTAATTTATCGGTAAGTACTCACACAAGTTAAAATCTAATTAAATATAAATTCAAGTAGTTTAAAGTCGTTCAAGATAAAAATAAAAGTTTATTATAATTTGTGTACCAATGAATGATATTATTTACCCATCGACGAGGTTTTATATCAAATCTTCGTTGAAAATAACATAACTTATTCTACTTAGGGGCCTCATAGCCTAGCGGTCTTATTAAGTGGCAGATAGGTGAGGGGTACCGGGTTCGATTTCCGGTTCGAGGGCAAGTTTTAATTTAATTTAAATTTATTCTCGGCCTTTGGGAGGGTTGTGCGGTACCGGGCGAGTGCTTTAACCGTACATGGAGGGCACGGTCGTATTTCTAAAGGCAAGCACGAATTATAAAAAAATCTTATAATTGACGCTGGCAAATGCACAAACCGTGCCAGAGCCATAAAAAAAACTTATTAATTAGAATGATAATTTAATAAACACATTTAAAGTAAGTAAGTATAAATATAGACTTCCTCATATTAATTTAAATTTAAACTAATTAAACATTAAACATACAAGAGCCGTTCTCCCAATGCCTTTTGGAGGAGATACTATTAGGACGTAGAGTTCGAGTACACAGGAGCTAATTAAAGATTTGAGTTGGCGCCTGGTAATACTGCCATTAAGGGTACACAAGGACCACATTTTTAAATTTATTTTAGTGTTCTATATAATTAATTTTTATTAAGAATTGCTTCAGCCAGCTTTAGAATTTATTTTAGTTATTTTATAACTGATAACTTTAGTGAAATATAAATTTATTATCAAACATTATACAAAATACCATTTCAAATTATATAATTGATAATATTACATTTATTCGTAGGTTATGGGAACAGATAATTGCAGAAAGCATCTGTCTTCCTTAGCAGAACACCTTACTAAATTTGAACAAGCACCCAAAGAAATAAAAGGCTGGCGCCCTAACGCCTGGTTCCTTGTAGGAGAAGATATTTTTATGGAATTGTTTGAAACTGGGCGCAGCATTAATTGGCAATACTCAGAAATAAGAAAATTTGACGTAATATCCAATATCTGCTCACAAATTGAAAGAAACGCTGCTTGGATAGAAAGTTTCATATTTCTTTATCCAAATTATCGAATTGATTTTGACCTCGTCGGATCATCTGATGATATTTGCCAAGTTAGATCTGGTATTGACGTTCTTTTCAAAGGATTTAAAGGAATAAATACTAATTTTGATAAAGTACTGCGAGACTTAAACAAAGCGGAAGGAGTTGACGAGTTTGATAGGTGTCTAAAACTGTGGATAGAGACAGGACATCGACCTGATTTTATTTCAAAAAGCTCAAATTTATCATCAGAACACTGGTGGTGGTTTTAAAAATCTAATTCATATTTTGATAAAGATATTATTTGCTGAAGATGGACGTTACTGACTATAATTGGGTTTCCAAAGCTACCGATAATATTGATAAGTATCTACACAGAGGAGGAGATGGTAAAGGAAATGAACCACAACTTCTTGGAGGTACAGACCTTGCTAATACAATAGGTATAGCGTTGGGATTAACTCTTAGTGATCCAACTACTTGGTCGGAGTATGAATTACAACAGGCAGAAAGAGCGAATCTCTGCTTTTTTAAAGGAACTGCTCGTGAAGCCATAAACATTATTATAGAAACAATTAAAGAGCGTTGCAATGGTGATGAGTTCAATTTTATCACTGTGATTCCTATTGAGCTAAATTTCAACAATAAACTGTATGAAATACCGGTATTTAAAGTACAACGTTATCGAAACTCAACTATTTACTATGTTGACAATATAGGAAGATATTACACCAGCTTCCGTGATTGGAACAACAATAATAAATTACCACCTTGTAAAATAATATACCCCAAAGGACTCGAGTTAGTCTCTAATGGGAATCATACTGCTGTTACGCCGCCTTATAATACGACCGTTGCTAGAGTAGAGAATCAAGTTACAGAAGGCGTTGATATTGCTGCTGGAGTAATAGGAATCGGCTCAGCTGTAGGACTAATTATCTTATCAGGTCCGTTTGCACCATTTTTAGCAGTAGCAGGTGGGGCAAGTGCTATATGGGGCACTACCAGAGCAGTTTCTGAATTAGTTGATAGAGGTGATCATGGACAAACGATTGATCCCTTTAAGGATGAAACAGCTAGAATGTTATGGTTAGGTGTCGCCGCTAATGTAACTGGTTTTGGGGCTATGGGTGTCAGTATGAGAGTTTCAGCGGTCGCAGCTCGTGGAATAGAACTAGCAAACGCGCAAAAAGTTTTCACAAATGTAGTTAATGGCGTTAGCTTAAGCCTTAACTCTGTTGCGATTATTAACAACACAGTTTACTTAATTCAGCATATTAAAGAAATGAGTGCAGGTGAAATTTTACTAAATCTAGCCCTCTTAGCATTCTGGACCAAGGGAACCTTTACATTTAAAAGAGCAAGTGTTATTATGGAAGAGGCTCATAATGAAGCGTTTGCTCGTATATCCCAAGAACTACCTCCAAGCGCACGAGATGAATTTGCAGAAGTTAGAAGTAGAGTGCAGAATGACGAAAATCTACTTAATTTATTTCATACTGCTCACAGGTCAAATATTTCTACAAGTGAATTCTCTCATCTAATGATAGATGGTATGCATTACTTTGAGCACGTAGCAAGACTTAACCCCGAACAAAAAGAAGCTTTTTTAAGTTTGCGTAATTACCTTCATGACGACATGCGACTTCTTACTGGTTTACAGCGGTTTTCTCAAGCATCTCATTTAAATAGGGAAATTACACTTGAGTTAGTTTTGACACTGTGGCAAAGGTATACAATTTCACCTTCTTGGGGCGATATAAAATTAATCAACGGCAGTATTATAATAGGTAACGCTCCACCTTTCAAAATTACAGAAACGCTTGAATTGTCGTCGCCCCTATTTAGATTTGTCGGTGAACATTTAAGTAAAGTAGATACAAGCTCCATGGATCAGTGGTCTATTCGAGAGTTAATATCATTTCAGGATCATGGGTTGTTTACTATATGTCCAGTAACTGCAATTAGTAAAACAGGCTATTCAACAATTGCATTTAATGGTCTAATACAAATTAGTTTAAGAAAGCTACAGTCAATATCTACCGACTCACTTGAATCAATGTTCAAAATGATTGGCGAGCTAAAACCAGAGGATACCGTCACTAGCTCAAAATTACCTTCCGACGTTGTAAAATTATGTGTCCGTCAATACAGATTGCGTTTTGAGGTACATAGAAAAGAAAGTTTAGAATGGGCCCGCGGATCAGTTACTCAAGAAAATTTAATAAATATACTCAAAGAAAATCTTTTACCACACGAAAAGGACAGATTGTACACTTTTAAAACTGAAGTAAATATGATGAAAGCTGACGTGTATATGAATGACATGATGAAGTTTGTATCTGAGATGAACCCGAAAAATGTAAGTGAAATGGTGGCGTACAGTGAATTTGCAATGACATATGTCGATGAAACATCCGCAAACATTGAAGCAAGCCTTCGAAATGGCACCACAAAATTACCGCACAATGCGAAGAAGGCTGTCTGGCTGCGTATGTATTCACATTTATTTATACTCCTATTACGTCAATATGAACTAAATAACTAACTAGGATATCTTTTGTAGTGATATAAAAATAAACAAAATTCGGTAGATATATTTTAATGTGTGTCTACAAAATTACTTTTATTTTCAGGTCAACAAGCAAAAGAGAAAACATTTCACAACACGACAGAGCTGAAGCAAAAGTTGAATGATTTCATGAAAATAGTAGATGAAAAAGACATGGTTGGAGTGCAAGTGGTACCAAAGGGACTACCTGATGAGAAACTAGTTGAAGAAATTCGTTCATTAAAGATAAAATTTGGTGGAAGAGCTTCCGCTGCTTATCATATCTATAAACATAGTACCGAGCCACTTACTGCTTATATAGACCAAGCTAATAACACTATTAAATCGCCTTCAAGTAGTTATACGGTATCGATTGGCCAAGAAGGTGATTCAAGAATTATATCATTTACAGATGCCAATGGAAGTGGCATAGTTCTTGAGAAAGATGGACGTGTTTTACTCGCAAGCTTTAGAGCTAGTCATAGAAAATGAGTTATAGTGCGAACGTTGATATGCACAATTAATTTAAGGAAATAGTTAATGTGAAGTGTTTATAGTGGCACTATGTTTCTTGCCGATTCTTCTTAGTAGCTCCTTTTCCGAATCGGTGGTAGATTTATACAACTTTAGAATTTATATCTTGTCTTACCTTAGCTTTAAGAAAATGTATTAACTTAAACTAGAATAATGTTAACGAATTTATAAAAAAACAAATCAGTTTTCAATATATTTAGTATCTACTACCAAGTTTCTTGAATGTTATTATTGTTCATGAATTTCATTAGTATTTTCTTAGTTCTGTTTAAGTTATTGCTTTTCATTTATATTTAATAAATGTTTAATCACATCTTTAGTCTTTTCTTTTTCAAGTACATTAATTGAAGAACTCGGACTATCTGACATATTTGCTATCAACTGAACTGAGCGTCTTATTCCATTTATGAGTACTGTTTTAAATCCTTTTACCTTTACCTGAAACTTATATATTTTTGCATTATTTTTGTATTTAAGTTTATACGTTTACAATAGGCTTGATGTGCTGTACTCTTATGATATCTAATATATAAAAATTCTCGTTTCTCCTTAAGGAGATTTTACTTAGCCTACCTTTTTCTCTATATAAACCTCAGAGTTCAAGTCATAAGATTTTAATTAACAAATAAAAATAATGGTTGGTGATAGAGGGGTGAAAATGTAGGGTTGTATGTATTTTTTAATGCTGTATCATAAAAAAAATAAAAAAATAAAATTTATTTAAAAATTAAAAAATAAAAAATTAGGTTGGACTACCCTTAACATTTACGGGGATGAAAAATAGATGTTGTCCGATTTTCAGACATACCCAATATGCACACAAAATTTCATGAGAATCGGTCTAGCCGTTTCAGAGGAGTATGGGAACGAACATTGTTACACGAGAATTTTATATATTAGATAGATAAACATAAAGAGCGGTTAAGCTATCACCCGAATGAACTGGCTCGCCAACTCACCATTAGACAGTATGTGAGTCGACTAAAACGTCACCATATTCTACAGCTAGAAGACAAAAAAGAAAAAAGGTAGAACAAAGTAAACAAAAAGTGCAATATATACCATTTTGCAGTCAGCAAAGAGTGAATTTTGGCATGAAGTTGGCATTAAGCACAGGGCTGCCACAGATTACTCTAGTATCCCCGATTTTTCTTTGTATACAGGTTTTTAGCAGCTGCATTTAAACAAATAATTTATTTTTGTTATTTAGTATCTCCTACATTATTTTAATACGTCATGTCTTTATTAGTAAGACATCCGGATCATTACGATCTACCCTAATTTAGGACTAAAAAGTAATATAAGTCGAACCTAATTTACTAAAAAGGATATTAAACATAAGAAAGTGTCCAATAACACTTCTTACATATGTATTAAAGGGAACAAACTCTGTTCTTGTGTTCTATTTTTTCACTGACGACTGATTAACACTTAAGACTAACGTGCACTCACACTAGTTCACTAATTCGATTGGTTTTGTCCTTTTCAATCTTCTCAGTTGGTGTAGTGTGGTGTATCTCCTAAATGAAAATATATCTGAAGAAAAATCTTTGTTTTCATAGCCCAACTATATTATACGAAAATAATTGTACTGCATTTGACAATGTTGTATCTTCATACTTGTGCACATTTTTTTGTGTAATTAAATTTGCACATTTGGTATTGTAAAGTACATATTATGTATTAATTGATTGTATAATATTGTGTATATGTAATACATTTTTATTATATCACAAAAATGCTTATAATAGTATTCCACTTGTCATTATGTCGTTATATTTATCCGTCTGTTTGTCCAACATTAAGTTTATGGTATTTTTTATTGGCCAGACGCTTGCGACGAGTTCTTTGACAGCTTCATAAAATAATATGACATTATGGTCTATAAAACCCCATAGTGTTTCACAAATAAGATTCAGGTTTAATAACAAATAGATATTCTTTATAAACTTTTTTATGATAAGGATTAATCTGACTACAATATGAAAAAAGTGATGACACATTTCTGCTGAATTTTCTTTATTTTCAACAAAAATTAAAAAAAAATTAAAAAACTTAAGGAGGAGGTAACGTTACGTTACGTTATGTTACGTTCACGTAATTTTATTTTCTTTAGGCAACTATTTTTTGAGATCAATACATGCCGGCTTCACGATGTATTTACCGCTTGGGCAACTTTTGAACGTATCATACAAAAGCCCGGGGTTTCAACTCACGGCCTTAGGGCTACCTCGCATCATCAAACGCTAAATGCTAGCACTGAGTGATCGTTGAGAACTGCCAACCACTAGTGTTCAAATGACTGCATCACATTAAATATGAGTGCCACCCCTCGATTGGTAAATTATTCGTCTGAATTTAATATATTTTTGGAACGAAGTTCCTTATCGCGCGTTGTGAAAGGGGGGGGCTAGACGGAAAAACTTTTTACGAAAAGTTGTCACGACACTTTTTTGCTATTTGCTATTGTAATACATCGGTTCTCGTCCGATCACCGAAGTTAAGCAACATCGGGCGAGGTCAGTACTTGGATGGGTGACCGCCTGAGAACACCTCGTGATGTTGGCTTTTTTTTGTAGGGATAAGAAATGAAAATTATTTTTGGAATCACTTAACTAAATTAGTCTTGTTGGAACGAAGTTATCGAGCGTTGCGAAGGGGGGCTAGACGGAATAAATTAAGACCAAAAGTTGTAACGACACTTTTTGCTATAGTTGTTATATTTTACATTTTCGATTTAGCTATCGCCTACGTCCATACCACGTTGAATACACCGGTTCTCGTCCGATCACCGAAGTTAAGCAACGTCGGGCGAGGTCAGTACTTGGATGGGTGACCGCCTGGGAACACCTCGTGATGTTGGCTTTTTTTTTTCGTCGTAAGATTGGTGTCAAGAAAATCTATCATACTGTTATGATACCAATTAACATATAAATTGATCGAAAGGAATTTCGTTCCATCCGGGTGTCCCTTGACACCTCTAAAGTTTTTTAATAGAACAGGGGTAAAAGGGCAGGAGGCTCATCGGAGGAAATACTTCAGTGGGCAGCTGGTTCCACATAGTGGTGGTGCGCGCTGGTTAAGTACACAACTTTCCGTTGTTTAACTACTGAGTAGTATGAGGCAATGGCACTCCCTAACTAAACAATGACCCTACTAATTTGTCACTGTGTCGCTAATTGGAACTGTGTTATCTAAGAGGGAGACAGTACATATTTAATATCACACAGTATTTTAAATAGCTCAAACATCACACATTTTACGAGGAGGACAATCAGATGATTATGAAAATTTGTTATTAAAAGGTATTGTGTGAAAATTACATGAGAATTTAGGAAGGCTCACAATCTCACAATCGAGTAGCCCGCAGCACACAAGTCACGAGGGGAATCTTTGTATTGATAGTCGCATAGGTCTGCCAAGCAACCGCGAATATTCACTGTAAATACATAATTGTAGTAATAAAGAAAATTAATAATAATAGCAAAATAGCTTTTAGCATATGAGCATAGATAACAATAAAGTTAACGATTATCTAGTTGATAAAGGGCCTGGGACTAGTGCTGGACAGGCTACTTCTAATTAATTTGCGATATTTGTTTTAAAATAAGTGTTGTTTGACATAGTCATTTTGTATGATGATTTGCTATTGTAAAAGAGTACCGAGAGTTTTTTACGCCGGCTTTTTCTCTCGGCCTACACGCTCTGTCTTCTTTGCCGATGAGTAGGGATGTCTACCGATACAAATTTAATGACGTGGAATAAGTGATACCTATATATTATATTCCATAATAAACATTTTTTTTTTATTAATTAAGATAGATAGTATCAGAAACTACGATGAATTGTCTTCATCAGTAGATAGTATGAGGAAGGCTTAAATATGTATTTCTGTATGTTTTTATGTGTTGAAATACAACAATTGTTGCTGAAAATAGTTTTGCCAAAATCGAGACACGAAATCACGTGGACTACGGAATATGAGACGAGAAAGACTAGTGGCGCTACAACCTTTTTATGTCTGGGGCTCATATTTCTGTATATGTTACATGATCATTTGTCAATCTAATGAGCTAGTAGGTGATCAGCCTCCTGTGCTTGACAAACGCCGTCAACTTTTTGGATCTAAGAGAAGCCGGTTTCCTCACGATGTCTTTCGTTACCGTTCGAGCGAATGCTTAATGCGCACGCAGAAAGTTGGTGCATAGCCGGGGCTCAAACCTACGACCTCAAGGATGAGAGTCGCAAGCTGAAGCCACTAGACCAACACTGCGGAATATAGTCAGGTAATATGAGAAGGCTTATTAATTTAAGATTTAAGTTGGCGTCTGGTAGATAGTACCAGTGACCCCAGAGCTGGTGCTGGTGCTGGAAATGCTGCCAGCCTTATAGGAACCAAACTTTATAAATTTGTTTTACTTTTCTATTTATTTATTTTTATTATTATTATTATTACTATGTTGGCTAAGAATATTGTAAACACTGTATATTTGTGTGTTTGAAAAAATGTATTTGTTATTACTATGTAAATAAAATATATGTATAATTTACTTTATTGTGAATACGCAACAATAAAAATAGTTATTTTAGCTTTAACACCAGTTATAGTTACTGAATAAAGCTATCCATGTTTTAATTGACGCTAACATACCGTCCCCGGAGATCTCAAGAAGTATGAGTTATCCATATTATAAAGTTAAAATCGACAACTACTCATGAGTGGTAAAACTTAAATAAAACTTTCTTACATTTATCAATGTTAAATTTTGTTACCTATTAGTATGTATAGAATGGTTTACCTTATCTAAATGCTAAACTTGCGACTATCATCCTTTAGATTATGAATGCAAGCCTTGATATTAGTACTGATGGGTAACGCTTTCTGACGGCGAGGGAAAATACCGAGACAGTTTTTTGACCCAAAAAATTATGAGGCGATTTTCGTACATTTGTTTAAA